TGGTGGGGATGGGGAATAGGGAATAGGGTGGGAAATGTTGAAAAAGAGTTTTGGAAAACATTTTCTCTTTCTCTTGATAGGAAAAATATTTTCCTCCAATTGAGTTCATAAGGAAAATATTTTCCAAAACATTTACGCCAACGAAAAGTGGGAATACCAAACACACCCATAATGTAAAACTTATGGTAGGATCAGTTAAATGCTTGTAACAACTGTCTACTGAAATGTGCCCCAAGTATAACTCAAAAGCTCTGAACTTAATGTCATACCAAAAGTTTTTGGTCTGAAATCTTCCAAACTAAAAGTACTTAATAAGTTATAAACACCATCCTAAAGCTTTTTTGGTACTAAAAGCACTTATTATGCAAAACATACTGCATTCTCAGACATGACCTAAATGGTTAGAGAACTTCTCTTTTTCCCCTTTTGAAGCGACATCCATTCATATAGCCGAGCTCAACTTGCTTGGATTTGAGATATAGTTGTTAGTATTCACATTTACATGGTTTTATACCGGGCTTGATGCAATTCACAACGAGGAAAGGAGATATTCAAGCTATCCTTTTATTTAGATATATAGCAGTAGCCTAAAAGACCCTTTTTCCTTACATTAGTATTCTTAATCTTTTCCAATCACCTTTATTCAAATGATCACTTCACAGTAAAGTGATAGAACTTGAGTTCAAGCTGGAGCCTCAGCACTAGAAGGGACAACCTTAAGGACATAAACAGGATCTCCCACCTTGATTATCTTTCCTTTTCCACGGCTAAGAGCATCGGAACAAACCATGTTCTGTCCAAAATATACCTGCAAAATAACATGAAAAATCAGTATACTTGTGATTTTTCTAAGGGCTTGGTAATATTTTATACTCATGGAACTTCTCATGGTATTTGATCTTACCTTCCCTTGTTGTTTCTTATTCAGACGCAAGGCCTTATCGGATCGAAACTTCGTGAGAGTTTCTGTTGGCTCAGAGCCTGCTACTGCTGTTTCTTGATTTATAGTAGGTACCTTGAATAATGAGCAGAATCAATGTCAGATATAAAAAGGTTCAACTTGATCATGACTCATGAGTGTTCAAATGCCGGTTACTTAGGAAGGTGAAGTACTACAAAAATTCAAAAGTTATATTTTCATAATCAACTCCATTCTCTTAGTTACGGCTCGTACCAATGGTACTCAGCATAGCATTATAAAGGGAGAAACATGACTAGACTCTTTTCATCTTGTCTAAACAAGTTCCTCGAATTAATAGATCCCAATTCATGTCTGCCACACGACGTCTGGAAAACAAAAACACAGATGGAGTTGTTTTCGTAGTTTGGCAAATCTGAACTGTTTCTGCCTATAACATGCAGAGGTAGAGCTATGATTTCAGACTTATAGGTTCTGGAAATTAGAACGACAGCTTCAAGTGTTAATGACTGGGTTCAGCCGAACCCATAGCTCGGCTTCTGCCTCCGCCCCTGACAACATGCCCTCAAATATGTTAAGTTTCTCTCCAATACCATGTTGCATGAACTTTATACAAAAAATCAGGTGGAGAAAACCACTTCCAGTTTGCACAGATTAAGCCGTTCAGTAAGAAATTAAATTCGTAAGGTTTTACCTTACAGCGAGAGCATAGTTTGACACCTTCAAATGTCAAATTATTGATCCGGATCTCCTTCCACAAATCCTCAGCAAATGGTTCACATCCATCAACAAGGACACTACGAAAGAAGGTAATGTTAAAGATTTAACTTAGTTAATCTAAAGAGCTAAAACTTTGTACAAATAGAGGAAAGAAAATATATAGCCAATCAGAAACAAATTTGACAAGAAAGACAAGCATATACTTGGGTCTAAAACGATTAACTGGAACAGGCTCCTTGAGAAGAGAATTTAACGCATTCAATGAGCCCTGCAGAAGATAGACCCAAAAAAATCCAGTCTAAGAGACTCTTGTTTCATGGATATGCTTGTTGAATTTAAATGCTGACATCACTAACCTGGGATAGCAAAAGGTATGGATATCCATCAGAAAACATAACCTTGTACCCTTGAGCATAATTAGGGTCTACAACCCTCATTTCTTTCACTGGAAGAATCAAGAGGAAGCAACTTATTTTGGTCAAATTTATTTCCAACAGTTCTCTACAAAAAAGCATACAGCATAAACCTAATAATAAACGATAAGCTAATCTATGACACAAAATTTTGCAATATGGGTCTGCTCAATGCCAAGACTTATTTCATAGTTGTGAAAACTTAGACAAAATGGAACTCGATTCATCTTCATTTAACTTGCGCAATGATATTGTTCAGATTCAGTCGGTGACATTCTGAGATCAAAACTTGAGGGCCCCAAAAGAGCCATCAAATGGAACACAAATTTAGTTCATAGTAAGAGGTTTATCCTATCGTGAAGAGCTTTCTTAATTCTTTGATTCTTTCTAACAAACTTAAGGATGTACAATTCTGTTTAGCTTCTGGCAAAATGGTAGCTCCCACTACTTGTGCAACTACACGCTTGCTCAAACTTCATTACCCAAAAAAGAGTAAAAATAGCAAAAGTAACAACTAGCAAAGAAGATGGCATGGAGCATGAGTTGATTTCTTAACTATTTACTGAAAGCAGCCAGATGAAACGAATGCAGGAAATATGTTCCAAGAAAATATAGTTAAATACAAGATATAAAGATCGAAATTCCATTAAGAATCTGAACAAGTTTTCTAGAAAAGTTAGCATAACTGTTGGAAGAGATATACAGAGCGAATTTCAGACAAGGATATTGGAAGTTAAGAGCAGTGATTTCATATGAGTAATATTTAGATTAAGGGGATGAGCTGTACCTTCACTAAAGCGAACCAGCCGACATGGTTTTCCAAGATGCGTGGAAAACCACATTGCTGCCTCAGCTCCCTCGTCCAAGGCAGAACCAGACCACTCCCAGACCGAGACACCGTCCGTTACTTCAGATGGATTACTTAGTGGAATCTTCAGTGGACTCATGCCGGGAGCCCTGATAACTACATGATCATTACATCCACAAAAGTAATTTGAGTTATGGAAAAGAAAGGCCAATCATTAAAATTCTCTCCCCCTCTCATTTTCTTGTGGGCTTTCAGTATGACAATAAGCTTGTATGATTGATTCGGTAGATCCTGAGCAATGCCTCACTGACTTCACAAAATCAACCACAAAGCTTACGGAGATGTTACAGCAGTAAACAAACAATAATGATAGTACGATTTGAACATCAATATCCTATATCTTAAACTCTTAACAGTTACACGGGGAACCAAATACTGATTCTTAGCTCTGCATATCAACATTTGCAAGTAAAATTATCTATCTTTCAACATTTCTTATCCTCTCTCTCTTTCTTGTCACCACAGAAGTAGCAATAGATTGCTACTTCAGCATCCCATAGCTTAAAAGAGATGCTGCAGCAATGACTAATGCAATAGTAAAAAGTGAAATTAAACAGCAACCTAATCTTGGACGAGGTGACTGAAAACTATGATGCTACCTAGATATGAATCCTTATTTGGTTCCCAGCCCTTGGAAAATGCCTCAGTTGGCAAGGCCACTTCAACCAGAGCAAGCTTTGGCTCAACTCTTTGAGTATAGGCCCTGCCTTTGGAATTCACCACTAACCATTGTCGATCCCATCGAAATCCTGTTTAAATCCAACAAGACATCAACTTTCAAGCAGAATATGAATGAAGAAACAAGTCTAGGAACAAAAAATGTTCACTAACAATTTTAAGGAAGAATGTTATTTACTTAAAAGTAAGAAAAACCATAGCACTTAAAGTTTGTCCAAGGTACTCCATATTAGAAGGTGACCAAAAACAAATTAGCTAATTACAAGAATAACATATTTCATTTCTATTACTTTGTGTTTTGGAAGTTTGGCAACCAAATTTCTCTTTCTTTCCTCATTATCTTATTTTCCTTCCTTTAATTGTCACCAATCCATCTTAATTTCAAGAAGACACCCTTTACATTCCAAAACTATAGTAAGTAGACAGAAAAAGAAACAATTTTCATTTCAAGAGTTAAAAGGAAAAGTTGAGCATACCAGTGGAAGTGATAGGTGCTTGAGAAACAGAAATTCCACGGCATGATTTGATGGGATATACAAATATTGTTTTAACCATAGCTGCTGCAGCTGGTGCTCCTATGATTTCTGCCATCACTCTCTCTATATCTGCTGTTTGGTTTTACTGTTACTAAAACCTTGTTTTGGGGTGGCAGGTATCATATGAATATATGGAGTTTGGCAAAGTGTACTTGGAGATTCTTTTGTTTACAATTGGGAACCATATCTGGATTAGGCAGAATAAATTCATGCTTGGATAGTGAAATTATTCAATTCCCGTTTGCCTGATTTTCTTTTTGTTTGGTCCTTTTAAGACACAAAAAATTTGCAAAAAAGGTGATTTTAATTTAATAAAAAGAAAAAAAAAGTCGATTTACATAAGTATTTAATTGAATGTTCATTAATAAAATGTCAATTTCAACTGAATGAATCCGTCTTGAACTAGTCCCGTTCTCCCTTCCCCTAATCCCTAGTGTTATAGCAGCTTTAAAAAGCCGAAAGTGATATTTCATTAACAATGGGTTAAAAAAGAAAATTGTAATTGTTTTCAAGTGGTCTCTAATTTATTTTTGTTATTTAATTTTCTACTAACTAATCATTCTTTAGAAAAATAGATCCTTCTACCTTTAATTCTAAGAATCTTAAATCTTCTTTTCATATAAAAAGCTATTGTAAAGAAATATTCTGTAAAGATAAACAGATTAGATTCTTTCAGAATTTCTTTCTGGGAAATTGTAATTCATCTTTTATAACTTCTAATTAAAAAAAAATAGAAACTCGGAGGAACAAAATCAACATGCGAAGGCTTTGTGTCCATCAAGACAACTTGACCAGCTGATTTGGAAATTCCAATTTCAATCACAACAAGATTACTCAGTAAATATGCTGAGACCTCTACTAAAAATGTTGCAAATCAGATGCATCAAATTTAAATCTAAAGGTCAATATCATGTCCATTTTACACATTATAATGTTGTGTTTTGAACAGAATGAATAGGTTTTTAAATGTTAGAAAAAAATTTCCCCTTCTTATTCAGTCAATGTAATTCTTTATAACACAATATCTATGTAACTATAAAGATCAAAGCTTTATAGTACACATTCATCGACTTTTTGGCAAAAATCATCCTTGAACTATAGCCCAAACCTATATTACATCCTTGTGATGCTTTAGTGAACAAAAAATATCCTTGTACTATTTAAGCTATTGCAATAATCATCCTTCCAAAAAAAACTAATGGCCAAGAAAAAGAGCATACCAATCACGTGGGTTTCCTCCTAAAGTTTCGAAGAGTGACTCTCCTGCCCAATCATCTTCCACTTTCATAAAAAGTAGTATGTCTGCCTAAGAGTATCATTTTGTTTTTTCTCACAAGTGCACTAACACCACTAATTCTTTATTTTTGTTAAGTGAAGCAGTGAGACGTTGCAATAAAGTATTTGTCAATTAACTTTTCATCTTTGTTAATACTTAAAATCAGTGAAAAACTAGCAAAGAACGCCTTTATACCCTTTACTACTTGATACCTTTAGAACATCACACGAGCACCAGCAAAAGGCAATAATGAGCAAGGGAAAACAACAAACAAGAGCAAAAAAAAAAAAAAAAACTTTAGCAAAAATCAGTATTCATATACTGCAATACCATTGATTAGTTAAAGATAACAACCAGCAACATAACACCAACGCAGAAACCAGTAGCTAATTAATAAGAAATAAAAAAAAAACTCCAAACACCAGAAACCGAAGTAAAGACAAGAAAGTATCAATATTTCTTCAATATAATGAGAAGGCAAAATTCTTCAAGAATTGTCGTTTTGTTGAGATGATGAAAAGATGCAACTTTGTTGAGTGACCAGCGATGTGCCTCTTTTAACTTGAAAGAACAAATTAAAATACTAAATATGACTCTCTTTATTTGTAAACTGTAATAAATTAAAAAAACTGAAATAAATTTTTTTTAGCGGTAGCTTTTCAACATTATGAAAACTTGACGCTCCCTCAGCCATAATAGAGTTCAAACTGCAAGGGTAGTGTGATGGATGAATTTCAATAGCATCTAATGTTGAAGTGCAAGTTCTACTATTGTGGCCAGGTCTGTCACATTTCTTACAATCAACTGATTTTGGTCTCTTTTTTAACTTTGTCTTGCTAGCTCCTAGCTCATCATCTTCTTTCCTTCTTAATTTATGTTTCCTTCCTTTCTTCATCTTCAAGTAAGAAGGTGGCAATGGTGGAGAATTTGGTGACTTAGACCATAAATCAGGGCCATTTATAGGCAATATGGAAGCTTCATAATTTTTTTTATATGTCTCGATCTTGTAGCAATCATCAACATAGTCTAGAACCTCATCCTTTTTCAACCAAATGGCCGATATAGCATGCTTACAAGGAATTCCTGAAAGTTCCCATTTCCTACAACTACATGTTTGGTTATATAAGTCAACAACCCAAGTATCACCTTTGATAGGTCCAATGACTTCATAATTCCATGTGTTCGACTTTTTAGGAATATAACTAGCAGCATCCTTCATAGTTTTGGCCAACATCTTCTTAATAGTAGGACACCCAAATTCCATTTTTCAGCTTTCTCTCTATTTGAATTAATTCTAGTCATGAGTAAGTGCCTAATGGTTTCTAAAAGTTTCAAAATTGGTTTGTCTCTCGCATCAAGAATAAACTTATTAAACACCTCACATAAGTTATTCAAAAGAATGTCGCACTTAGGAAGCGAAGAGAAATATGGTCTTGACCATTCACTAGGCAATTTAGTAGACAACCATTCACATGCATTTTCATCTAATTCAAATAAATCATCCATACAAGCATCAAACCTGTCAACAGTTGTTGCTGAAGCTGCCTTCCAAAGAGCATTTTTTAAAGCTATGCCCCTATACCTAGCTCTCTTGAAATTGGTATGCAAATGTCACACACAAAATCTATGAGAAACATCAGGCAACACTGTTTCAAGAGCTTCAAGGAGTCCTTTTTGCTTATCTGACATAAAAGTCCATAAGTACTGCTCTTCTATCTCAAGATCATTCATCAAATAGGTTAAGAACCATTGCCATGTTTCTTTATTTTCCTTCTCGACAATTGCGTAAGCTATAGGAAAGATATTGTTATTCCTATCTAAAGTAACTACTGACAGTAATTGTGCCCCATACATAGTGCCCTTAAGCCAACACCCATCGACCCCAACAATTTTCCTACAACCAGCCTTAAAACCAACTTTACAAGCTGTAAAACAAACATAAAATTCTTGAAATCTCATCGGCTTGTTAGGAGTTAGTTTCATGAAAACAGAAGTCCCGAGATTGCTTCTAACAATTTCATTACAATAATCCCATAATATACTAAATTGATCATTTATATGTCCATCAATCATTGCAATAGCCTTTTCCTTTGCCCTTCGTGCTTGATGCATACTCACATCGAGTTGTAATTCCCTACTCACTGTATCTCTGAATTCTGAAACTTTCCAAGTCTTGTTTGACCTAATTATATCAACATACCTCCTTGCAATCCAGCTAGCATTGATACTTCTATTGTTATAATTTCACTCAAGAAAAGTATGTTTGGACTCAAACGTCTTTATTTGAAAAGATATTATGTCCCTTTTGCATTGGTGAACCCAATATCTTCCACTCACATCCAGGCTTTCTTGGCCCTAGCTCTTTCTCTGTCATATTTAATCTACTCGATTGACTTTCCTATTTTGGCTTGATTTGCAATCTGATGGTAGGCTATAATTGTGTATTTTGGCCACTAATTATACTCTAATTCACTGTACTTTACTAATATTTGAGCTTTAAATGGTATTAATTTGCATTGACTGTGTGTTTTATGCTTTGCAGGAGAGATTCTGGGCTACAATGAGGTTAGGGAGCGTTTTTGAGCTACTATGGAGCTTTGAAGGCTAAGTAAAAGCTTGTGGAGTAATTTGGGATTATGTTAGAGGATCAAAGGATGTTAGCGTACTTAAAAAGAAGAACGACGAAGAGAGGAGAAAGTTGCCCAACTGTGCGGCCGTATACTGGGCGTGCATGACAAGCAGAAACTGGCCAAAGTGCGTGGCCATATGCGTTGTCACCTGCCCAGGTGCGCAGCCGCGCACGTATGTACGGAAAAATTCTCCCAAGGCTAATTTTGTAATTTCGGAGGTGACTTTCCTTGACCTATATGAAGCCCAGCTCGTCTAAAAAGAGGGCATCTTGGATTTCGAGAGCACCTTTGGAGGGAGAAGAAGCACGAAAGCAACGAGAAAGCAAGATACTTGATCCAATTCACTCAATACGAAAGTTTGTTTGAATTTGGGAATTGTAATGTCTCCTTGTTCTTCTAATACTCTTGTTATGAATGTTTTCTTCGTTATGGAGTAATTCTCCTCAGGGTTGTTGGCGGATGTTGTGAATTGACTATTATTTTGGGGTTTACTCTATGTTAATTGCTCGACTTTACTGAATGAGTTATTAATTAAATTTCAAGGTTTATCGTAGTTTTACTTTAATCGAAAGAGAAGTCTGCTACTATTTGCTTTGTACCATCTTAACTGGGTTGATTTTATGCCCCTTCTAGGTAATCGAAAGAGCTTAAGGAGTTATCGATTTATCCAGTTCAGGAGAATAACCGAGAGGTGTTCTTCGAAAGATCGTTCATTCACTATTTTAGTACATATATTCATAGGACATGTTATTAGGTTAGCTAAAGGAATCAAATTTATTCGGAAGAAGAATTGAAATCCCTAAAGTAGCCTAAACATCTATTGAAATCGAAAGAATCAATATAAGTAAAGATTGAATTTAGCACAGAGTTACCCGGAACAATCGTTGATCACATATCTTGTCATCACCCTTACCTCTTGCACTGATATTCCATTGTTGTTACTAATCATTCGGGTATCATCAGTTTCTTACAGTTGAAAATCTTAGTTTATTTGTAGTCAATAATAACATAAATCAAAAGGTTTAATATCCTAGATAGTGTGGAGCTGAAGAATTAATAGAACACTATTGAAACCAATCCATATGGAGATGATTTAATACTATACTATCTTTAACTAGCGAGCCTACGTTTTGTACACCAGTTTTGCACGCGTTAAATTTTGGCGCCGTTGCTGGGGATTGGCTATTAATAGTGTTTAAATTAATTTTCAGTGCTAATTCAGGAACAATTTTATTTTATTTTCTTTTTTTACGCTCTTCTCATCTGTGTGCAGGCAACAAGTTAAGTTCAACAGTGTATGACTCGATCCTCTTCAAAG